CGGAGAGCCTGGAAGATCAAGATGTTTTGCATGATGGTTACTCAGCATCATGAGAAATTCAAAGGGGTCACAAAGAATCGCATTTTGATGTACTATGACAATATACTGAACACATACAATAAAAATAAATCAAGCTCCTAAAATGACAAAAGAAAGTACCACAAGGTGATTCTGTGTGTGAGGACAGTCGAAGAAAGCACTCTGCAGCTCATTTCTCACACAAAGGGAACATTAAGGTGAAGTTAGAATAGCAAAATTTTACAGGAAAAAGAAAGCCTATTAAGCATGTTTCTGCCATTTGGAATACAGGAATGAAAAAGGTATATCGTGACTTCATCTCACAAGTCAAACATTTTTTTTGTGTAATTCTGAGTTTATATCTCTCAATGCTGACTTTTTTTCTTGTAATTCAGAGAAAAATCTGACTTTTGTCTCAGAATTCTGTTTACATATCACAATTCGGACTTATTTCCCAGAATTCTGTTTACATTTCACAATTCTAACGTTTTTCTCTGAATTCTGTTTACATGTCACAATTCTGACATTTTGCAATAATGTGAGTTATAAACATACAGTTATACCATCTCACAATTCTGTGTTTTTACCTTGAAATTCTGCATTTATTTCTTGTAATTTTGAGTTTATATCTTGCAACTCTACTTTTTTTTTCAGAATTGCAAGAAAAATTGTCAGCATTGTGAGATAAAACGATGCAATTAACTTTTTTTGCAGGTAAGTACAGTACTCACAGAAGTCACTTTCAAACCAAGCAACTTTCTGTTGAACAACTTGGTGAATCTCTAGGACCCATCACAAAATCTGTGTGGGGAAAACGTTTGCCCTCACATGAAATTGCATGAATTCCTGGACCTCAAGGGACATTTTTTACAATTATTTAGATGAATCATAAATTAAGCCTTTTATTTTTTCTTTGCATATTTAAGTCACATCAGTATCATCATACAGAATTAAAAATAAAAATAATTAATAAATGAAACAGATTATATAAAAAGGAAAGAAAAAAAAACATGCTGAGAAAAATGTTAGATTTTAGTTGACCTGAAGAACTAATTTTTAAGGTCAACCATCTGGGCCATTAATTGTGTTTACAAAAAGCTATTCTTAACAGCGTAATAAGCTATTACATTTTAATAAGATATCATCAAATGCATATGTGGTTACTGAGTCACTGGCCTGAATTTGAAGGCATAAAAAACCTTTGAGAATCACTTCCCATAATATTTATCCTTCAGCACCACGGATCTCCAAACCACACGATAAATGCACCACAGTTCTGATTTCTCAATCATCACCAGGAGTGCTCATGAAACAGACTGTTTAGCATTATATATTAGTTTAGCAGGCAAACATGTCTTTAGATAACTAAATCTTTTATTCCCCATTCAAACAGAAACATAACCAAGACAAGAATACCTATTAAATAAACGAATAACCTGTTCTATCACAAGAAGGATGAAGAGAAAGAGATTAATGAAGCAATATTTCTCGTCTCCTTCAGAAAAGTGATGTTGCAGCAAATAATTGCAGCACGTACGAGACATCTAGAAAACATGTCTCCCTTTAGATGTATGTCTCCCTAAGCTACTTTTCTTGTATATGTTAATGAAATATAGACATAATAAAATATTCACTCAACAGCTCATTAGTGCTGGAAAATTTGCTGTACTGTACAGTAATTGCTTAAATGCTGTCACTCTTAAAAAATACAATACTGTATATAATAAGAAATATAAAGGGCTAGACAAAACCTGGACTAGAAGATTACAGCAGTTTGGAGCTTTGGCAGCTTTGAAGATTGAAGGTTATATATAAGCCTTGTGTAGTTAAGCTTGGACAGTACGAAGAGAGATTTAAAGTGATGTAGGCCATTGCTATATAACGTTCAGAGCGACTGCTAGTCAGTTGCTAGGGTGTTGAAGGAGGTTGCTCCAGTGTTTAATTTTCACTGTTTCCATTCATTTCATTTCATAATATTGAAGAAATGCTGCAGAACTGAGCTGAATGCAAAACACTAAAACATTCTTCTTTAAGTGCCCGAGAAATTCTGGATCAGTAATGAACACAGCTGAGAAAAGATCCACTTTTCTCAGAAGTATCATCCTCAGAAGTACTTTTACAGCTCTCACAGACAATAAACCACATTAAGACAATGAGAAAAACAAAAGGGTTGCTGCTTCCATGCACAAATATCCAAACATAGATAGATAGATGATAGACAGACAGACAGACAGATAGATAGATAGCCTATTTTATGTATAAAGTTGGAGTGAAGTGACCAAACTTCTGAGAATCCACTAAATTTAGAGCGAGAACACAAGGCATCTTTAAAGATCATTCGCTGTCAGTGGCACAAGGACACTGAACTCACTGCATGATTACTAAGTAGTTGACCAGAAAATTGTCCCAGATGCCCTTGCATTATGGTGAACCAGATGAAATGGCTCTACTTTGAGAATGTGCTGGGATGTTCTCGAGTGAAAACGAATAACAGGGGTTGTTTCCTCATGCGCTGATACTCTCTGCAATGCTGGGAATTTGATCTGCTCCGTTAAAAGACATTTTCTAAGTTTCCACAATCTGTCAGAGATATATCTGACAGTTGTGTTCACATTTAGTCAGTATTTCTTCAGAACTGATGTCTTTCTTGTATATATCCAGCAGGGTATGTATAATTGTGCAATACATTGCACAACAATATTAGATCATTCTGAAAAGGAAGTCCATCGCACTCATTTCCAGATTAATTTTTCATTTCTAAAATCAACTGGCAATTACACCGAGTTCATCTGAGTTCCTTGGACGCTCTCCAGTTCGCGTGTAATGAACCTTTGTGGGGCCATCAGAGCTTCAGATGTGGTTGATAGTGGAAGGACATCTCTTAGTTTGACTAAATTCACAGCTGCACAACGTGGGCCAGGAAATTCTCTATTAGCTTTTTAAAGCTTTCTGTGGGCCTGTGGAAAACATACTATAATCTAATCCACTCGTGTGGTTTTGTAAATATAATTAGAGCAGCCGCTGCTTGAGGTCGGCGAGCTTGATTCTGGAGGTCCAAAGCTCATCTGCTCAGCTAACCACAGGCCTAGTTGCTACAGACAGCAAAACAGCAAACAAATGAAGTAGTAATTATGACTGGCATGACCTTTAATTTACAGATTAATGAAAATCTATTAAAAGAGGTATTTTGAAACCGATGTAAAAGCCTCTCACATAAATATATGGCTGGCAAAAAAAAATACAAACACGCTCTGAGCTGCCAGTTTGACCGAATGACAACGCTCACATCCCTGCGCTCAGGCGGTCTTTGCGTCAGGAGCAGAATTAGATATCATTCAGTCCACTCTATCAGCCCTTTCCAATAGCTGTGCTGAGCCAAATACTCCCCTGACAGCCAACTCACATGTGCTTTGTGGACAGGGGACAATTGTCCTTTTGTCCTCGTGCATGGACTGCCTGGTTCTGGCTCCTGTTTTAGAAACTACTATTTTGTGTTTTCTTTCTGGTTTGGCCTAGAAACTTTCTTCTTTAGAGATATCTGGTGATAAAATGCAAGGTTGCTTTGTCCTGTAGCTGTATACTTTGATTAGGCAGGATAATTTGTTGTTTGTTTTTCAAATGAAGAGCCCCTCCTATTCTCTCCAACTCACTCAACACAGATTGCGATGAAAGGAGGGAATAATCAAAGAGTTAGTGGCGGAGGTGGTAAAGACTGACGAGGGGGAGGCTAGTTTGTTTTACCTCATGCTGATAACATTTTCTCAAACAGATCAACCAGTTTCATGGGAATTTATAGCTGCATGAAATTGCAAGAGGAATGTTTTGAAAGGAGATATAGACTTACACTGTCATAAACACTAATTCATAAATTAATTTCTGATTCTATGACACCATATGTTATGTGAAGCTTATCATTTAACATCTGTGTTGGCAATAAACTGGCAGATTATAGTTACAGTTTCTAATGAATGTGGTGTTGTGATGGGTAAAGGGGGCTGGGCAGGTTACCAAAAGTTTGCAGGTTTGAGACCCATAAGCTCGATGACCCATCACTGCTGTGTAACCCCAGGTTGTTCCAGAAGGATTGTCCCTGTAATAAGCATACGGTAAGTCATAAACGGATGTCTGCCAAAATGACTACTTGTATCCAAGGCATTCATTAAAAGGAGGGATGGGAAATAAGACATAACCGACAGCAGTGTGAACTTACGTTGTGCTCTGGCTACAAAACTTGATTAGTTCAAAACAAATAAACAGTTGTAGATTGTTGATTGACTGATTCTGTAAGAAAGAAAAATGGGATCTAATATCTCATTTGCTCTCTAAGGGTGGTCCATAATCATTTTAAAGCTAAACTTTTACTATATGTGAACTGACAAAGGTTATAGTAGTTTAGAGATTTGCAAGATACATAACTGACTGACTGACTAAATGAATGAATGAATGATGTTTTCAACAAACCACTTAATGATTTTATATATATTTAAACTTAGTTTCAAAAGGCTTGAAGTTTGAAGGTTTTATAGGCCTTACAGAAAGCCATAGGGCCTACAGTTAAATGGCTTTACAAACCCGGGGAATAACCACTTAATTTCCCAGTTTGCCATTGCCCATTGAATTTCTTCCAATTCCCTCTTCATTCAAATTCAGCTTCCTGTGGAGTGTGGCCAATTCGATTAAAAGGTAGCGATTTTTGATGAATTTAGCACGCTCGTTTTTGACTAATTTGTAGTCTTATCTTTTGGTAACTAAAACGTTGTTTCAAAACACCCCCTTAATTTGCACCTAGATTTGTGGATGACTAAACAGTTTCTCTTACTTATGATTGTGCACTTTACGCATTGATTCAGCGAGGCACCTAAAAATATCGTTCTCCAGAGCCGGATCAAAGCTGGGGTCAGCTTCTCCGTGAATCCAGCCCTACAGTTTAGCCTAAATAAACCGAAAGGAGGGGCTTGTGGGCGACAGAGAGTAGAGAAGGGTCCCGTGGTGAGCGCTGCAGAGCCGTGTAGTGTGTGTCAGGTTTCATTCTGAGAGAGACTCAAGCGCGCAGCAGTCGGACAAACCCGTCAAATGGCACGACCGAAGCACACAGACTCCCACTAGAGCCGGAGCTCACTCAACCATTATCTCCATGCACTTGAATGAGCAGCATGCCTCAGTTGAGGTCGTTTTGAAGATTAATATTTTCACGTGAAAAGCGGTTTAATTGCCTGAAAGGAGAACTTTAATCGGCTTATTTGAGCACGACCCCGTTCAGTGGTGGATAAACATCATATAGCCTACATAAGTCTCACAGACATGGAGGACATGAAATTGCGAGTATCACCTCAGTCCAGTCTGGAGAGGACCTGCGTTCAGCATCCCTGCCAAAAGCGCCTTTTGACGAACTGGAAGGACGTGTGTGCAGTCTGCGTGTGTTTGATCTCGTTTGGAGTTTGTGTGTTGCTCTACCTGAGGACGTCAGATCTGCAGTCCAGGGTGCTCAGTTTGGAAAAGGACAGAGACCCCCGTATCTCCAGTTGGATCTCTCTGGAACAGGTGGAGCCTGTCCTGTGGAGTCGACTGGATCAGATATTAGAGGAGGTGAGCGGTGACTTTTATTCTCCAGACGTTTGTCTGTGCTTGTAATAATATCTAGTCATACATATATATACAAGCTATTTGCTTGAGTCATGAGTGCGAGGACAGAGTGAAAGAGATGTTCTTCATGTTGTCCCACCTTGTTGAAGTCTCAATGAGAGGTTAGAAGTGCGCTGTTCAGAAAGTTCAATGAGCAGAGAGACTTTAGAGGTAGAAGATGGTGTTTATATATGTTTATATAATAATAATAATAATAGTAATAATAATATATATAATATGTTTTTCTGGAACTACGTTCATGTGTGTTAAAATATGAATTTGAAGGCGGAGAAATTGACGACCAAATCAAATGTTTTCTTGGGCTTTTGTTTAGTTCAGTTTCTTAATTATTATTTGGTGTTATTTTATTCCTTTGTTTGTACTGCGTTTATTGCTCCTTTTTCTCGTTTTTATCTCAGTTACTCCTTTTTAAAGATAAAACGCAAAAAAAGAATTACTACTTTCTTTTTTAGTTTATCTGACAGAGAAAATAACTTTTATATTGACTTTAAATAAACTTACCCATTAATATTAACATTTTACCCAATAAATGTCATTCGCCTTCACACATAAGTGATAAATAATTAAATCCTGATTAATGAATTAAGTTTAGTATGTATTATAGCTCTTCAAATGCCAGATCAGACTCTTTTACATGGCTCAAATTTTTCACATCCTCTTTAGCATTGCTCTAGAATGAGTGTCTATAAATAACACAATCATATTGCCAAAATTTCCTGCTGCCATTTTGACACATCCATTAGTGTAGTTGTCTTATTAAAAGTGCACATAATTGATGTGATCCAGTAGATGCCCCCCTATTATCCACATTAGGCTGACTGAATTTCAAGCGAAGTCTGTTCAGCTACTGAAAGCTGTGACTGTTGTTGTTTAGCAAAACTATTTGCAGCATGCAAGACCTGCTGAACACATTGTGTCACCATACGACCACCTGTTTTACATCAATAATCAAGCAGTAAGGGCTCTAGCCAACTTTAGCGATGGCCGAGCACTGCGTCTGTGTAGAATAGGATTGAGCTTGAAGTGGTGAGGTGGAGAAAAGCGAGATATATATACACAGTACGTTGCCTGCGGCCGTGGTCCCTTCATGCTGGCCTCTGGTGGTTCATCACCTAGCTGCATGTAAAATATTTGAGGTGTTAAAAGTATCTTGGGTATAATTTTACTCAGGGAAAGGCTGCCATCTCACTATCTGCGGTTTATAAAGTAATAGAGTCTGCAGAGGATGATGGAGGTGAATATTTAGTGTGTTAATGAGAGTACGCCACCTGGAGTAGAGGCAGCCAAGTGTGAGTCAATCTGAGGCTGAGTGTGATTACAGTATCTGAATAATGTTGAGTCATTTACAGGTGGATCTCACTGAAATCTGCCAAGAACATATCCAGTGCATAAAAATATGAATTCGATTTGCTTATTAGAAAATAGGCACCTTTCAGGCATTTTAACATGCAAAAACCAGATAAAGAATTACAGCCTTATTGTAATGAGAATGTAATGAGAGTCGTCCTTCAGAATAATGGCAATTACTACTAGTAAAATGTCCACATGCATTACAGTAATGAGAGTTTTGGGGGAAATGTGCTTAATTGTAGTGAAAAACTTGCTAAAATAGGTTTCAGTTTTGTTTAATACTTATGGGCCTTTGAAAAGCATCTGAAATGTTTATCTCAGGGGTATTCTGTTATCAAGGGCAGATGTTTCTCATAGACATATTGACAACCAACGTTTCAGCATCACCATAAAATTGCATGTATATGTCTCCATTAAAGCTGAGAAACATATACATTGGAAGTGCCTGTTGAAGGTTAGAATGGTGCTGATTTCACAATTTATAAAGAACGTGCCTTTAGGGGTGTAATCAAGATCTGTTAAGGGGGAAAGTAGCTAAACGCGAGCGAGCGAGTAGAGAGAGAGAGAGAGAGAGAATGAAAGAAATGGAAAGAGCGATAGAGTTTGGCCTGCAGGCACAAAGTCTGGGGGTCTTAGTAGTAATCGGACATTGGAATTGTAAAACGTGTCATCCTTTCAAAATAGGTTGTTAAAACCAGATCAAATACTGGGCATCGAGTTACCATTAAAGCTGGGAGGCAGAGCATGTCACCTCCCTCCCAACCTATCCCTGCAAACCCTGGGGCATCAGCTGTCTCATGCCATTACCGCAACCTTACCATTTACATCACGTCATCTTAAAATCAGCATGAAACATGTTCGCAAACCATTGCGCTGCCATAGAAGAACCATTTTTGGTTCCCCAAAGAACATTTCAGCAAACAATTCTTAAATAAACCATTTTTCTTTCTTAGTGTAAAGAACATTTCAATGATTTAAAGACCCTTTTTTCCACTATAAAGAACCTTTGGTCCAATGGAAAGGTTCCATGGATGTTATAGAACCATATATTCAACTAAAGAAGCTTTGTTTTTAAGAGTGTAATCATTTTCAAGTTTTAATGAGGTATTTTATGAGAAAAAAATGGAGGACAGGACGTGATGTAGAATTGACTGGATTGTAAAAAGTGGGTGTTGAATTCCAAAATAAAGCCAGATGGTTGAAAAAAAATCTTCATCACATCAGCCGAAAAGGAGAGTCGTTTCAGAAGCGTCCAAGTTATTACTTTTTGATGAAAGATTACAAAAATAAACATTTTTTTTTCTCTTTGGAATAACATGCACAGATGAATCGTGCACAATAAGACCAGAGGTGCGTATTAAGAAAGCAAACAGGGTCATTGTTGATTTCATGTTGACTTTAAGAACACCTTTATTCGAGCATAAAGGAACACATCCTACCAGAATTAAATGCTTCAGTAACTTAATGTGCTTCAAAATGAAAGCTAAGTCTTTGTTGCTTTAAATCTTGTTCAAGGTGCTTCCCGTCAATGTAACCCTTCATGCTTACTTTTCATCACTGGTTATTGTTTGCTCAATGTGACTGCATTATTGTTTATGAGAGCTTTTAGATTTAAGTGAAATGGGGTTTTGGATGCACTTTTTCATGGTTTGATGTAAAAAAAATTGAAAATGCTTAGAATATATTTTAAAGAAACATTTTATTTGGGAATGCAGCACTGGAAAATCATGAGTTAATGCTTTGGCAAACCCTGTAGCGTGTGCATTATCCCTGGACATTGCTCCTGTGGAAAAGCAGTTTACGCACAGCACAGGTTCCCTCCAAATTGTAATGCATTTTCCACGGCTTCTGTGCTCGCGGAACAACTGTCTGTTGGTTAAACCTGCTGTCACACGTACAGTATATTTTCATCTTAGCATTCTTTAGGTTTTCCTTTTCTTCTTAACCTCCATTAGCTCTTTCTGTTTTACAATATCTGTAGAGCTGCCCAGTTCAGTAGTGTGGAAAAACTGCTACAATAGCTTGTAGTGTCTGAGAGTGGTTTGAGTGAAGACTTCTCCAGCTGGGAAGAGGGTTTGCCAGTATCAACCAAATAAAGCCCTGGAAAGATCCATGGTTAATATAAACTGGGGCAAGAAAAATGTCAGATAGCAGCCTCAGAATTATTTAGCCTCAGTCAGTGTTTCAATATTAGAGGAGAGGCATGACCTGTAGTACCACAATGCAGACGCCTGAAAAACTTTACAATTCAGTCATTAATGTAGCCAGTCAATGATTGCTCAACCAGTGAAATGGCACTGCACACAGTGGGTATGTCTGTTATAGCTGCGGTTTTGTAAGCTTGGGCTAAAAATACGGTAGTAGCTCTGTTTAATGTCTCTTTTATGGAAATTTCATTTTTTTTAAAGAGCACAAACTGTTCTTTAAATCCTGTTCATCTATATAGTGTTCACTATGATACCTATTAGTTTGAATAAAATATTAATAATAATGTTTTCATATGTTTTTAAATGCAATTTATTTCTGTGATGGTAAAGCTGAATTTTCAGCATTTTCAGAATTTTTAGTTATTAATATTGTACAATATTACTGTTTTACTTGTGATAAATAAATGCAGCCTTGGTGAGCATAAGAGACTTCTTTAAAATGTTAGCAACCCAAACTTTTGTATATTCTTGGTTAATTCTTGGTTAAAACTTCAGTGAATGTGTGGGAAATGTTTGCATGAATAACAAGAAAAGACTAACAAACTAACACCAACTACAGTAGATTTTTTTTATTATACCTTACATACAATGTGGTCGATTTCTGCACGGCTGACTTCAAATGTCCTGTTTGTTTATTTCCAGAAATTAGCAGCACGTCTGCCGAAGATCCGGGCGGCTCGGGATGCACCTCACAGCTGCATCTGTCCACCAGGTACGTCTGTTAACCCCATTCATCCACAGCTCACCCCTCCTCGATCTCTACACACCTGTGATAGTGTGCTCCGCCTGTCACGTCTGATATGCAGTTGAATGTATGTTGTGGTTAAGCCTTTTGAGCTTTCCTTCCTCGAAACAGTCTTTTGTCTGCAGGTATGTGAAGAGATGCTATTGTTGCCAGGATAGAGATGTGATCGACTAGATCTCATTTCCCATGTAATGTAAATGAGTGAAAAGAGCCTCCTCTCCCCGAGCCGTTCACTGGTGCCCTCGGACTGGCATTGCTGTGGTGACAGGTGCAGTCGTATTTTCGGGCACTGTTGGCAGTCATTGCTTTCACTTTGTGTTGAGCGGGTCGTGATGCAAGCCGGAGTGTTTGGATGGCGTCATCTGGCCATTCCTGAGCGCAGGGAACAGTCAACAAGGTTCACGGAGTACGACTAACAAGTCACATCTGTATGTCTGACAGGGCTTGTTAACTCTTTGGGGGTTACATTTTTTTTTTAATTAGAAATTAAATATATTAAGAATTTATAGTAAGTATATAATAAATGTATTTCTGTCATGACAACTCTCGGAGGGATTGGCATGGTAATGTACATGACAATGTTAATGTATTTGGTCTTGGCGGAATAGATCTGCTACGCTGCGCAGATCAAGAGCAAGTACCGACTTGCTACTGCCAATACATCCACAACGTGCTGCTGTGAGCATGTAAGAAATATTGCTGCTGCAAATATAACATACATGAAATAACCCCCATATAGT